CCAGCTACTTGGAAGGTTGAGGTGGAAGGATCGCCGGAGCCCAGCAGGTCGAGGCTGCGGTGGCCGGGAGCTGCTATTGCACTCCAGTCTGGATGACAGAGTGAGACTCCAACACACACACACACACACACACACAAAAAGAAAAGCAGAGATGTCACAGAGTCTCAAGACCATAAGTTGAGATGGTGTGCACATGTGACTTGCTGCGAAAGTATCCAGTGGCTGCAGTGGTGTGTGATTGTGTGCAGGGTGGTTGTGACACTAGAAGTCAGCAAGGGGCATTGTTGTAGCAAGCGGGTTTTTGGTGTGGTCACCATTTTGGTGACAGTGCTGTGTGTGGTTGTGATGTGTGTCATCCCCACAAGGTCTGGGATGGGTCTACCTCAGGAACCTGTGGAACAATAGCTGCTTGCCATGTGCTCTGGAGGGAAGGAACCATGTGCCTGGCTCGGGGTAATGTGTGGGGTGTGGCTTGTGGTTGCAACTTGGTGTGGTCCCGAGAGGGTCTTCCTTCTCTTAGTTGCAGGGGGTAGAGGGACACCTAGGCTGGAACGGGCCCACCTCTTTATTTCTGTTTTTAAGTTGGGGTCTCACTAACCCAGGCTGAATGCCATGGCATGATCACAGCACACCACAGCCTCAACCTCCTGGGCTCAGGTGATCCTCCTTCTCCCCTCCCAAGTAGATGAGACTACAGGCATGGTGGTACATGCCTGGCTAATTTTTTCATTTTTTGTAGAAATGAGGTCTTGCTCTGTTGCCCAAGCTGGTCTCAAACTCCTGGGCTCAAATGATCCTCCTACCTCGGCCTCTCAAACTGCTGGGATTACAGGCGTGAGCCACCCTGCCCAGCCTCCACCTAACTCTTTATATTGAGGGTACTCTGGGTAGGAAAGACCACACTTGGACCCTGCCAGGTCAGCCTCTGCCCTCCTTTCCGGCTCTTCCCCGCTCCCAGGGTGATGTCCAGGAGCTGCTGATAAGCCCAGACCCCCAGGCTGCCTTCCGGGCCTGTGAGCGGTACCTCCCCAGCTGTGACAACCTCAGTCCTGCAGCCACAGGGGTGAGTGAGGGGCTGCATGGCCCCCGATCCAAGAGCATGGGCTAAGGGGTCCCCAGCTCCAGGTCTCAGAAAGGAGTGACTTCTGACTCTCACCTATGGGGCTGAGCAACCCCTGGCCTCAAGGACGTGGGTGACTCTGACCTCAGGTCATGTAGCTGGGTGACCCTTGACCCCCAGATCACACCATTGCTCTTGAGCCCCATCACAGGGCTGAGCGAGAACCCATGCGCCTTGTACCAACATGACCCCACATGACCTGAGTGATGGAGTCTCTGCTGGTGGGTGCCCGGACCTGACTGGGAACCTCTTCCCAGGCCCCCCAGGGTGAGCCGGAAACCCCTCCCCCTCGGCGGAAGGGAAAGGGGAAAGGAAAGAAAAAAGGACGGGGTCGCAAGGGGAAGGGGAGGAAGAAGAAGAACAAGGAAGCTCTGACCTCAAGTCCATCTCCTGGCTCCCCAGAGAACCAGGTAAGCGACCTGCGACCTCTTGCTTCCTGCCTCTAATCCTTGACCCTCACCCATGACCTTTGTCTCTGGCCTCCATTTATGAGCTCTGACTCACCTCAAGGGACTGAGGAGCTCCCTCTCAGGAGCTCTTCCATCTCTGACCTCCCCTCACCTCCAGTCCTGGGGGGCTGGAGAGAGGGAACATGCCCAGATGTGGGCCTGGTTCTTAGTGGGTTCTTGATGAGTGCTACTGTCTAAAGGGGTCATTAGCTGGAGTAGAGGATGAGTTCTTCCGCCAGCATGTCACTGTGTGGAGTTCACTGGTCAAGGTCATTCATTGGTGAGGGTTATTCAGTGGGGGGAGGGTCGCTACTTGGGGGCAATATGTGGCCTCCCAGATAGGGATTGCTGGTTGGGGATCACTGAGGGGGATATTGATTGAGGTCAACACTTGGGGTGTTCCTAGTTGAAGGTCACTCTTGAAGGTCCATAATTGGTGTTACTGATGTTCCTAGTTTAGGGTTAATGGTTGGGGGTTTTGGTGAGGAATCACTGATCGGAAAGAATAATGGGGTCATCCATCAAGGACACTGGTTGGAAGAGTGATTTTCAGGGGGTCATGAATGGGGTCATTAGTTTGGGGGCCCCTGGGGGTTATTTGTTAGGAAGTCATTGGTAGGTCATTGATTCATGGAATCAGTACTTGGGGAGTCATCATTGAGGAAGGCTTAGTTGGGCTCACTTCTTTGGACATCATTCATTGTTGAAGCTCCACTGAATGACCCTCACCAATGACCTTGACCCATGAACCCCACACAATGAAACGCTGGCGGAAGAACTCATCCTCTGCCCCAGCTAATGACCCCCTTAGACAGTTGGGGGAATAATTGGCTAGGGGCCTGTTAGTTGGAGTCACTATTTAGTGCTTATTGTCAAGGGGTTATTACTGGTTGGAGTCATTGGCTAGGAAAGTCACTGCATGGAAGAGTTGGTTGGGGCCGTTGATGGGAGTCCTTAATTGATGGGGTCACCTACAGGTCACTGGTTATAGGGAATATTGGGGTCTGTTGTGTGTCATTCGTTGATGGGCCACTGGGGAGGGGTTCTTGGTGTGGGTTTTTGCTTGGGGTCTTTGGCTGGGGAGGGGAGCACTGGTTGCACTACAGCTCAGTTCCAGACTTTTCTGGCCCAGAACCCAGAAGCGGAAGTAGTATGCCCCTTCCCAGTCCCTTCCTCAGCGCCCTGCCCTCACCTGGGCTCCCACCACCCTTTCCCCTGCCTTGACCCTGTCTGCAGATGTCCAGGACAGAAGGAGCGGCCACTCCCCCCTCACTGCGGCCTGGCTGGCTGACAGCTGAACTAGGTCTCAGGAGGGGACATGTGGGATGGGCTTCCGGGAGTCTGGCCCTGGGTGTCGGACCTTGACCTTGACCGCGGGGCTCTGGAGCCTGCCCCGCTCTGCCTTCCAGGCCGCCAGGACTTGGCTCAGCCCTGTGCCTCCTCCATCCAGGATGGCTCCCCCTGCTGGTGGCCCTGGTCCAGCCGCCACTGGCCTCCGATCTTCTTTGGGAATCCTGTCTCCTCCGGAGCTGGGAACTCCAGGGGCTGGGTGGGGGCAGGGAGGCCTAGCCTCCTTCGCCTCCCTTTTGTTTTGACTGACCTGACCCCAGACCCAATGCTCTCTCCATCCCTGCTCCAGACCTCCACGGAAGTCCCTACGACAGAGACACCAGCTCCAGATCAGCCTCCCACCCCCACGCCTTTGGTCGTCACCTCCACTGTGACCGTGGGCCACAACGTCACGGACCTAGAGGTTGCTGGGAAGCAGATGAGGCTGGGAAGACCGGCGTGGGGGGAATGGTGTCAGACAATAAGGAGGTTAGGGACAAACTTTAGTCTGTCTCAATGTCTTTCTCAGGGGGGCCTGGACCCTGTCAGTGGAGCCGAGCTGGGGATCCTGGAGACAGAGACAGCCAGGGAGGATGACAGAGAAGATGAGCCCACTATGGGCCCTGACTTCCGGGCAGCAGAACACCCATCTCAGACTCAGTTCCAGATCTTTGCTGTGAGTCTGGGTGGCTTTGGTCAGGCACAAAAGGAAGGGCTTCCTACCTGAAGGCACATGGGGCCACATTCTCTCTTCTGACTTCTGCACCTGCGGTATGGCAGGCACTATGCTAGCGGCTGGCTCTTTGGACAGGGGATGGTGTTGGGCTTTGAGTCTAAGCAGCCAGTAAAGACACTTGAGAAGGAACATGATCTGACTTGGAGTTTTCAAAGTTTTCAAAGCTCCCTCTGTGTTGAATTTTAGGCTAGATTGAAAAAAAAAAAATTAAGCACCCTCTGGGCTTGGGGACTTGTGCTTGTAATCCTAGCACTTTGGGAGGCCGAGGCAGGAAGATCACTTGAGCCCAGAAGTTTGAGAACAGCCTGGACAACATAGCAAAACCCCATCTCTACAAAAAATTAAGAAAAAAAAAATTGCAGGGCATAGTGGCTTCTGTCTCCCTTCCATCCCAGCTACTTAGGAGGCTGAGGAGTGAGGGTCACCTGAGCCCAAGAAATTGAGGTTGCAGTGAGCTATGATCACATCACTGCACTCCAACCTGGGTGACAGAGGGAGACCCTAACTCCAAAAAAAAAAAGAAAGAAAGAAAGAAAAGAAAAGAAAAAAGAAAAAGTAAGAAAATCTCCCTGTCTGCTGAAGGCTACATGGACGGTAGGGGGAGCCGGAGGGGCAGCAGGAATGCCTGTAGTCCAGGTCCAGGTCCAGGCGGGGACCTGGAAAAGGGTAGTGACAGTCAGGATGGAGCCAAGTGGACTGATTTGGGACACATTCTATTTTGGTCTTTCTGCTGGAGGTGGAGAAAGGTAGATGCATGCTGAGATCATAGAGTAAGACGGGGACTCCGGATGGAGATGCAGGTGGGAGATTGAGGATCTCATTTGGGTGTGAGTTGGCAACAATCGTTTAGCCTCCAAATGGGCACATCAAGTGGACGATGGGTTAGAATGAAGATTCTGGGCCGGGTGAAGTGGCTCATGCCTGTGATCTCAGCACTTCAGGAGGCTGAGGTGGAAGGATTGTCTGAACCCAGGAATTTGAGACCAGCCTGGGCAACTTGGTGAGATCTCATCTCTACAATGAATCAAAAAAATATTAACATGGTGGTGCATGCCTATAGTTCCAGCTACTTGGAAATCTGATCTCCTGAGCCCAGGAGGTTGAGTCTGCATACCATGATTATGCTACTGCACTCCAGCCTGGGCAAAGAGTGAGATCTCAACTCAAAATAAAAGAAAGAAGGAAAAAAAAAAAAAGAGAGAGAGAGAGAGAAGAAAAAGAAAAAGAAAAAAAGATTGTGGAGTCTAGAATAGATGGTCTAGGCTAGGCACAGTGGCTCATGCCTGTAATTCCAGCACTTTGGGAGACTGAGGCAGGAAGATCACTGGAGGCCAGGAGTTTGAGACCAGCCTGGGCAACATAGCAAGACCTCATCTCTACAAAAAAATTAGCTGGGCTTGGTGGTGCATGCCTGTAGTCCCAGCTACTTGGGAGGCTGAGGTGGGAGGTTCGCCGAAGTCCAGGAGTCGGAGGCTGTGTTGAGCTATGATTGTGCCACTGCACTCCAGCTTGGGCAGCAGATGGAGACCCTGTCTCAAAAAAATCAAATTATCTTTGCATGGGATATACACAATCATCATTCACCCACCGGCTTGATGGGTGACCAGATTCCTGTGACTGGCTAAAGGGATTGAGTAAGTTTCCCAGCATCACTCAGTAAGTGGCAGATCCAGGACTGGGCCCTGGCAGTGGGGTTCACGCCCTTAACCTTGATTCCTGCCAGGCAGGTGTAGGAGGTGGTGCTTCTCAATGCGTATTGACTGAAGCAGAGAGAGGGAGCGCTGAGGGTGGCCTTGTGTGGGGGAGTGGGAGGGTGTGGGGGATGTGAGACTGGATAGCTCAGGAGTCTGTGTCCAAGTTCATATCTCTTCTCTTTCCACCCCTCACCCCAGGGCGCTGGAGAGAAGGGAGCAAAAGGAGAACCAGCGGTGATTGAACAGGTGAGGGAGGGGCCTGGGCTGCAGGGGACCCAGGGGGCCTCATGAGGATAGGGGTCACATTTATTTCTCCCTTCAGGGACAGCAGTTTGAGGGACCTCCAGGAACCCCCGGACCCCGAGTGAGTCATGGCTGCATTCCCTTCTTCCTGTCTTTTCCTTCTCATTGGGGGGGGTGTGAGGAGTCAGGGTACAATGTTGCCTGACCACCTGGAGGATGTTGATTTAAAGAATGAGTCAGAATAGGAGTTGGCAGCCTGGACAGCATAGTGAGACCCTGTCTCTACCATTAAGAGATAAGTCAGCCGGGCTCGGTGGCTCATCCTGTAATCCCAGCACTTTGGGAGGCCGAGGCGAGTGAATTACCTGAGCCCGTGGGTTCGAGACCTGCCTGGGCAACTTGGCGAGACCTCATCTCTACAATAAATCAAAAATCAGCCAGGCGTGGTAGCGTGTGCCTGTAGTTCCAGCTACTCAGAAGGCTGAGGCGGAAGGAACGCCGGAGCCCACAGGCCGAGGCTGCGGTGGCCGGGAGCAGCCACTGCACTCCAGTCTGGGCGACTGAGTGAGACTCCAACTCAAAAAAAAAAAAAAAAAGCCGGGCTCGGTGGCTCAGCCTGTAATTCCGCGCCTTTGGGAGGCTGAGGTGAGTGAATTGCCTGAGCCCGCGGGTTTGAGACCCACCTGAGCGGCGAGACCTCATCTCTACAATAAATCAAAAAATCAGCCGAGCGTGATAGCGCATGCCTGTAATTCTGGCTACTCGGAAGGCTGAGGCGGAAGGATCGCCGGAGCCCAGCAGGCCGAGGCTGCGGTGGCCGGGAGCAGCCACTGCACTCCAGTCTGGGCGACAAAGTGAGACTCCAACTCAAAAAAAAAAAAAAGAAAAAGAAAAATCAGGTGTGGTGGTAGGTTGAGGTGGGATGATTGCTTGAGCCCAGGAGTTGGAGGCTGCAGTGAGCTATGATTGTACCCCTACTGGACAACAGAGTGAGACCCTGTCTCTAAAAATATAACGGCCAAGGTGTAAAGTTGGGGGCTGACGTGGGTCAGCTTAGCATGGGGGGGGCAGGATGGCTCAGGAGTGGGGTCGGGGTCAGTGGCAGGTCAGAAGTCAGCCTGGTTCAAACTTTGCACCTCCTGTGACTTCTGTTTCTTTGTCCCCGTCAGGGGGTGACAGGCCCCTTGGGCCCTCCTGGCCCCCCAGGATTCCCAGGGGACCCTGGTCTGCCGGTAAGAGTCACCCCTGGGGTGTGTCCTTTGTAGGGAGTGGGGTTGCTGGTTGGGGTCACAAAGATCTGAACATGGGTCTGAGGGGCTGACTGGGGACGTCATCCCAGGGCCAGTGCTGACCTCTCCTGCTGGCATCTGTCCCCATCTGGGAACTGTCTCTCAGCCTCCACGTCTGTCTCGGCCTGTCTTCTGCTCGTCCTCCTCTGTCTTTCTCTGTTTCTGAGTTTTTCATTGCTGCCTTTCTCCTTATCTGAGTCTCTGGCTCCTTCTCTCGTGCTTTTTCATCTCTTTTCTGTCTGTGTCTCTGTCTCTGCCACTCTCTGACTCTCCTTCCCTCTATCTCTCTTTCCTTTTCTCCATTTCTTTGTCTCTGTCTCTGTGTCTCTCTCGGTCTCTCCTTGCTTTCCTCTCTCCATCTCTCTGCCTGCTTCCCTTTATCATCCCCTCCTTGATTTCTCGTTCTCACCCTCTTTCTGCCTCTGTCTTTCTTTCCCTGCCTCCAGCCCTCCCTCCCTGGCTTCATCCTCCTCGTGTCCCTCCCTCTCAGGGCCCTGCTGGCCTCCCAGGAATCCCTGGCATCGACGGGATCCGGGGACCCCCGGGCACGGTGATCATGATGCCGGTAAGCAGCTGACCAAGGGGCACAGCCTCGGTGGGTGGAGTCCCGGCCTGGGAGGCCATCTCCTCGGGACGCCCCCCCACCACCAGTTGCTCTTAGTTCCAGTTCACTAGCGGCTCCCTCAAGGGACCCCCAGTGTCCTTCCAGCAGGCCCAGGCCCAGGCAGTGCTGCAGCAGGCGCAGGTGAGGGGGCGGGAAGTGACAGGCTGGGCGGCAAGGGTGGGTGGGGGCCAGGAGAGGCCTCTGGAGGTCTCGTGGGAGACCCCAGACTCTGTCCCCATCTGTCTTTCCAGCTGTCCATGAAAGGCCCTCCCGGCCCGGTGGGGCTTACCGGGCGCCCAGGCCCCGTGGTGAGTGAGGGGTCTGCATGGAGGAGAGGGCCGTCTTGAAGGAGGGCTACTACCTCTAGCCACACTCCCCATCTCTCCTCTCAAGGGCCTCCCTGGGCTTCCGGGTCTGAAAGGAGAGGCAGGCGCCATGGGGCCGCAGGTGAGGCTGGCGGGGGGTGGGGGGTGGAAGGACTTGGCGGACGGTGTCTTCCCCCAGGTCATAAAGTGCTGGGTGGGCAATAGGTTTCTAGGGCTGGGGATACCCTTGCAAATCCTGCCTTTTCTAGAGAATGACTTCAAATAAGTCCTTACAGGCTGGGTGTGGTGATGCATGCCTGTAATCCTAGCTACTCAGGAGGCTAAGGTGGGAAGATTGCTTGAGCCCAGGAATTTGAGACTATCCTGAGCCACAATCATGCTACTGCACTCCAGCTTGGGTGACAAAACAAAACCCTGTCTCTAAAAAATAATCAATTAAAGATAAAATAAGGCCAGGAGCAGTGGCTTACACTGGTAATCCCAGCACTTTGGGAAGCCAAGGCAAGAGGATTGCTTGAACCTAGGAGTTCAAGACCAGTCTGGACAACAGAGACCTTGTCTCTACAAAAAATAAATAAACAATAAAAACTGCCTGGGCATAGTGGTATGTGACTGTAATCTCAGCTACTCAGGAGGCTGAGGAGGGAGGATCTCTTGACCCCAGGAGGTTGAGGCTGTGGTGAGCCATGATTGCCACTCCAGCCAGGGCAACAGAGTGAGATCCTTATTTGAAAAAATAAATAAATAAATAAAATAAAGATAAGTGATTCTTCCTTCTTATTTTTCTCCTTTTCTGTTTCTCCTAGGGTCCCCGAGGCCTGCAGGGACCTCATGGGCCTCCCGGCCGTGAGGGCAAGATGGTAAGTGACTCCTAGGTCCCCAGCTCACCCCTCATCCATCTCTCAACACCCATCAGGGACTACTGGTGTCATTAGTGGGACAAGAGCGTCAATGGCAGGGAACAGCAGCCCTGCTGAGTGTATGGAGAGGAATCCAGCCAGGACATAGAGTCGGGAAGGACTTGCCCTGAGGAAGGAGTGATGTGGGCCCTGAGATCTGACATAGAGCTGGGTGAACGGGTGGGGAAGAGCATTCAAGGAGAAGAAACAGCAGGCGCAAAAGTCATACCTGGCACGTGGAAGGAGTAGATGAACAAGACAATTCCAGACAGTCACATGCCATGTAATGGTCTTTCCATTGGGAATGGGCCATATATAGATGGTGGTCCCATGAAATTATAATTCTGTGTGTTTACTGTACCTTCTCTCTCTCTCTCTCTCTCATTTATTTATTTGTTTATTTTTTTGAGTTGGAGTCTCACTCTGTCGCCCAGACCGGAGTGCAGTGGCCGATCCCAGCCACCGTAGCCTCCACCTGCTGGGCTCCGGTGATCCTTCCGCCTCAGTCTTCCAAGTAGCTGGAACTACAGGCGTGTGCTACCACGCCCAGCTAATTTTTGATTTCTTGTAGAGATGAGGTCTCGCTGCCCAGGCGGGTCTCAAACCCACGGGCTCAGGCAATCCACTCACCTCGGCCTCCCAAAGCACTGGGATTACAGGCTGAGCCACCGAGCCCGGCCAAGGGTTCTTAATTTTGGTGATGATGGTGACTGGGACTAGGCGAAGGACCCTGGGGATAAAGAGTAGGTGGGTTTGAGGTATACTTGGGAAGTTACATTGATACACAAAGAAGCCCCCAGGAAGGGATTCTGCATGAGCAGGATACTCAGCAAATGGTCATAATAGTCATATCTTGCCCGGGTCCAGGGGTGGCTCATGCCTGTAATCCCAGCACTTTGGGAGGCCAATACCGGAGGGTTACTCGAGACCAGGAGTTTGAGACCAGCCTGGGCAACGTAGTGAGACCCTGTCTCCAAAAATAAATTTAAAAATGAGCCAAGCGTGTTGGTGCACACCTGTAGTCCCAACTACTCAGGAGGCTGAGGTGGGAGGAGTGCTTGCGGTCAGGAGGTTGAGGCTGTGGTGAGCTGTGATTGTGCCACTGCACTCCAGCCTGGGTGACAGAGTAAGATTCCTGTCTCTAAACCTAAAAATAAAGCTGGGTGTGGTGGCTCACGCCTGTAATCCCAGCACTTTGGGAGACCGAGGTGGGAGGATTGCTTAAGGTCAAGAGTTCAAGATGAGCCTGGGCAACATAGTGAGACCTTGTCTCTACAAGGAAATTAAAAATTATCTGGTGGCTTCTCCGGCTGAGGTGGGAGGATTGCTTGAACACAGGAGTTGGAGGCTGCAGTGAGTCGTGATTGCACCACAGCACTCCAGCCTGGGTCACAGAATGAGACTCTGTTTTTTTTTTTTTTTTTT